CTTCACAATGTAGAGGTTTTCTCCTTACTCAGAGGCTATGTGCACTAAGATTGGAATCTGCACTAGGCCAGGAGACAGAAAGATGAGTGGAAGAGCCTGACCAATGAGAAGAAAGCTAATAGTAGCAAACAGTTCCTAGAATCACTGAGAAAACTGAAAAAGGGACTCAAGGAAAGGAAGACCCAGCCTCTTCCAAACAATGAGAAAGCCAGCTGTCCTGCCAACTTCTCAGTAGGGTTGAGGGAATCAAGGTCCCTGTAATAGGAGAGTTTCCCACTAAAACCCAAGGACTGTGGGTCACCTCATGCTAGTTTGCACTTCAGTGGAATAGCACTTATTTTTTTTGCTAGATGTGGCCCCGTCTAACTGTCTCAAGGTCAGAGAAGGTCAGTCGTTAACCTCAGAATTTCCCTATACATGCATCCATCCCTGAATCTATGGAAGGATATTCTTGGGCCCTCCAGGAGGCTAAACAACCAATATTGGAGAGTCCTATGAAGCCTGGAGCCCTTCTACCAAATAGTTACAAGGGCATGATGACTTCAGGCCATTCCACTATCACTCAGTGGGGCACAGGACCCAGTGAAAGTCAAGTTCCTTTCCATGGCTAATCTCTAAGCATCGAGTATCAGAAGAAAAACCACAGATACCAACCCTAGTGGCCCATCCAGAGATACCTAATCAGCTATAAAGTCCATGCCTTTGGCTGGCTAGTGGCAATCATTTGTTTTGGGAAGGTGTTTGATCGAGTAGCTTATGTACTGACATATCTCTCTGATGCCAGAGCCTCTTCAAAAGATCCAAAAAATCTTCCTATTAAGGGATCATGAATGCATAAGATGAATTTCCTTAACTATAACAATCTTAGTGGCAGTCTGGGAAGCAGCCATGACTCAGAGCCCTAACCCAGTTCATTTACAGCTGGTACAGAGGAAGAAGGACGTTGGATTCACCTTGGAATGGACAACAAAGGAAGAGCCTTACTTAGAAAGGCTGGACTCTATGACCTTAAAGTGTAAATAGAGCTAGGTAGGATGGAGAAGAGTGGTCTTAGCCAGTGCTAGTTCAATCAGAAACAGAAATAGAAACTCCAAGGGATATTTACCTCCCTTCTCCTTGCAATGAGTGTGGTAAAGTCTGGATTCTGCCTCTGGTTCTGAAGAAGAATCATTTCCAACCCAAAGCAAAACCTAAACCTGGGAACATTAGCATTTTATCTGGAAAATCTTTCACTTCCTAGTCAACTGCCCAGTAAAGTAGTTCAGGACCTTTTTACCTCTCTGTAGCAAAGATCTCACCTTCTTGCTTTCTATTCCAGACTATTTCCAACACCAAGACTTCATCTAAACTCATCAGGCTGGAGGGCTAACAAACTCACATTCCACATATGGCAAGTGCCTGAACATTTACAACAACTCAGATAAATTCCATGTGCCATGCAAATAATGAAATGCCCATGACTTCCCAGCACTGCAAATGGCCATCCCAACAAATCCTCTAGGAATCTGCCATACTCTAAATGGACTCCCTTAGACATTTAGAAAAGGATGTGCTCCAGGAAACTGTAGGTTGGGTGGGACAAGTCTTCATGGCAACAGGAGCAGAGATTGCCGAGACTGAAGAGCCAATTTTTAAAGCATGAAAAGCAATTTGGTTTATAAGAGCAACAGCATATTTCAAGTGCAGCGACAGCATCTGTTTTGGGGAGGGGAAGATAAAAACCGTGCAGTGTGGATCAGGTGGGCAAGCAATTGTATAGCCTCTCTCCTTTCCAAATCTGCACACACACACACACACACACACACATACACAGAGCCACAAACTGTCACCACAAGGCAGTAACCACTGAGCACCACTCTTGCTTATTGCCCAAGGCTCCCTTTTTTTCCCCAGCAGAGGAAGGCCACCAGCATCCCCCCTGCACTGAGGAGTTACTGCAACTCAGGACAGAAGGGAGGACAATGGCCCCAGCACAATCCATAAGATTTCAGGCTTTACAGCTGTATAGACCCTTAGAGATCATCTAGGCCAACCTCCTCATTTTCCAGAAGAAGAAACTGAGGCCTAGAGAGGATATATGACTTATCTAAAGTCACACAGGTAGTAAAGAGCAGAACCATTTGTCCAATGCAAGTCATCTGACTCCAAATCCATTTGCTGTCATCATTACACCGTACTGTCTATACAATGGGGCCCTCATCCCACGCTTGACCAATGCATGGGAAGTTTCTTGTTTTCATGGAGCTTTAGAAAGAATAGACTCATCTCAGAAAAAAAAAAGGGGGATTTTTCCTTCTTGTAGCAAAGCAACTAAGGGCTGCCTTGACCAAAAGGAATAGGGCCTGTGGTGCTGTGGCCAGGAGCTACCCAGCAGCCAATCAGCCCTGGGCCACCAGCAGAGCCTTTTCTGAAATATGAAACAGAAAGCAGCGTCTGCCCCATTGTGAGAAATAGGAACATTCTGGCCTCTCTTTATTTAAAAAGAAACAGTACTAACCTGTTCCCACCTGACTGTTGGACCCAGGGAATCTTTTCACTTAGGCTGCCAGTGGCATCCCCATTCTTCCCCTCCCACTGGCTTTCTATCTCGAGCAACAAAATTCCCTGCTGTGAACACTGCCACACCCCAAAGGAAGGTTCCACACCTACACTTTGGGCACACAGCCTCACCTTAAGCTGCTTCTACCACTACATACGTGAGTTGTTCTTTCTTCCACTCACCCTTTTCCCATTTCACCTGTCTAGGTGGTTTCCCACATTCTCGCATTTCCAGCAGGTAACAGATATATTCCAAGAGCTCTGACACTTGTCTGGAATCCCCAGCCCCCTTACCTGTGCCTTCTCATGACAGAGTTGCCCAGGACACTAAGCTTTAGGTGTTTTTTTTTTTAAACAGCTTAGTCCAGCAATGAACAAAGCTGGTTACTGTACTCCTAGGTCCCAGCCAAAGAATTAAATCTCATTCTATTATAAACCCCTTTAATGTCCCCACAGACAGTACTGTCCAGTCCTGGCAGTCTGTCTCCACAGCAGGGCTTATCCCCAGCTGCTCTCTTCCAATACCCAGTTCCTCCCTCCCTTGAAAAGCCAACAGCCCAGACCCACACTCAGGAGGAACAGCCAGCAGAGGGAGGTTACGACTCAGCTTGGCTTTGAAAACCAGGCCTCTTTCCCCAGGGCCTTAGCCATCCTTCTCCTGGACTGTGAGATATGACAGTCTTATCCCTTTCAGGAACACCCCTGTGCCTTCCTTAGCTCCTTCCTAGGGTGTCTGAATGTCAAATGGCTATGCTTTCAATACCTGGCTGAGCTAGACCCAGGGAGTTGGAGGGGTTTAGGAGGGTGTATAATTAGCTGATCAGTATTATGTTACCCTGTTCATAACTGAATAACCATTTTAATACAGATGGCACACGCTGGGATAATTTCCGGGGTCGCCTTGCAGTACATTACAGCCTGAGAGTGGCAGAGGGAATCTTCTTTAGCCAAGGTACATTCTACCAGCTAATTCTACCTGCTGTTTTCAAGATGATTTGGGATAATTCCATATCATTTGCAAAATATTATGTGATGCCAGATTCAGAAATCAGCACCATCTGAATTATTAGCCTTATTCTGATAATAGCCTGATGAAGAATGCACAGGAAAACAGTATAGGGTCACACAACACACAACATAAACACACACACACACAGACACACACGCACATACACACACACCTCTGCATCTTTCATTGAAAGGTTTGGGATTTTAATTTTTGTTTGTTTAGCTTTTAAAATGTTGGCTAACCCTATTGTGGGCTTCCCTCTAGCTGCATGTACACACTTGTATATATGATTTGTGATCACATCAGGCCCAGCCAGCCTTAGTTTCAGACTATACTTGTGGTCCACACCGCTTCCATCACCAGATAAGGTAAGCCATTCACTAGCAGGTGCATGTGGAGCCAGTGTACATGTGTTTTCCCAGTGGGATCCCTGTGGGGAAGGGATAGGTCGGCTTACAGGAGAGAACCTCAATGTGTACTCTTCATGAAAGGCTAAATAAGTATCACAATGCAGGGTTGCAATCATAAATGTGCCTCTCCTTGCGACACATGGGAATTATAGGGCGGGTTACAAACATGGGTAAAGTAGGGTATGAACCTTCAGTATCTAGACTATGGGTCATGCCAATACCCAAATGCAACTCGTTGGAGGGATAGACTGTAGGTGTTTATTTGCTGATGACTTTTTAAAATCCCATTAGGAAGATTAAAGTAGCAGGAGATATCTCAAAGAGTCACAGGGGAAATCTGGCTTTCTCCCTCCTTGTTAAGGGGTGGTTTGTCCTGGGCTTAGGATTGAAGAAAACTGTGTCTTGTGGGTTGGTGGTTTCTTTCTGCCAGCCCCTGGAGAGGAAGAATATTTTCTCGACCTAGCTAGCAAGGCTAAAAAGCTTCTGGAAGCAGTTCTGATGAGGCTGGGATGAGGGAGAAGGGAGGAGGGAGCCAGGGCTAGGTCCTGGGCAGAGTAGGGGGGCCGATGCCCCTGGGGAAAGTCAACTCTCCTTTAGAAAGGGAAGTCTGTTTAGAGGCGATGAATAGACACTGGTCATTTTAACGGCTCGGGCTACGGGTTGTGATTGTCTCTAGATAGTGAGGCGCGTAATCTTGGAGTCTTAATTACCACAAACACTTGGATTCATTTCCAGGACAGCGAGAGAGGCTGGCCGGGCAGGGACGCTGAGGCCAGGAAGCCAGAGAGAAGTCATGTCCCTCTCCCAATCTGCCACCACCACAGTGGCCTCTCCGTACCCTTGGTATCACCTGGCCAGAGTCCCACCTGGCTGAAGGGGTCCCAACTTAGACGTGATTGGAGGACAGGGCAGAGCAGATTGATCTGACTCAGAAAGGAATGGAAATATTCGGAGGTGCCTAGTCACCTGGCCCTGACCCTGGCCCCTCGAAAACACTGTAGTGACCTGGGACCCCGGTCCGCCGGCCGGGGGCGCTCTCTCACCTGTTGATGGAAGAGACGCTGGGCACTGTGTCATTGTCGCAGATGCCTTCGGCCAGCAGTCGGTCACGTATCTCCCAGGCGAACATGGTCGGGTTCTGCCGCTTGTATTCAGCGATCTTGTCCACTACCTTCGGTGTAGCTACCTTGGGCTTGGAGCCACCGATAACCCCGGGCTTGATGCTGCCCGTTTCGTAGTACCTGTGGTCGAGAAGTCCAGCAAGCTCAGGAGGCAGTGGGTAGTTTTTCCCCAGGGACCACAGGTCAGAGCTCCGAGCTTCTCAACCTCTCCCCACCGCGGCTCCCCAACCCCAAACCCCTGTAGCACCCTAGTGCACTTCAGCCTCAGTGTGCTGTCACAGGAATCAAGTCAAAAAGCATTTTGATACTTTGGAATAGCATGAGTCCACTAGAGTAGGAAAGGAGGGAGAATTTAGAAGACCTCCCAAAAGGGGCCTGTTTGGTTCGGAAGAGGGCAGGCAAACGCTAGACCAGGGGATAAAAGAAGCTGACCTCCACGTCCTTTCTCTGGGAGAAACGGCTGGAGGCAGAGATGCGGGAGGAGACCAGAATATCTGCGCTCAGCCAAGGGAGAATCTGCCCATCGAATCCTCTGATTTTAAAGCTCTGAGCTAGAAGGCCGCCACCCTTCAATCCTTTACCCTATACCCTCTCTGAACCCCCGCAACCCAGTGCTACAGCCAGGGCACTCCTCCGGACTTCGGGCCTTTTTGACCCTTAGGGACCCGCCTTTTCCCCCTCCCTCTGTTCTTCCTAACCATTAGCTAAGGGTGACACTCACTCAGGATAAGTATCCCCATTTTTGGAGGCTTGGGGTCTGGCGGTAGAGTCCCTGAAGTGCAAACATAGGCTGCAGTCATCCCATTCTCCCTTCTCTTCCACTTTCTTACCCTTCCCAAGCATGGAGGAAGAGAGTTAAGGCCCCAGGAGCAGCTTTCACAAGAGTACCTTTCTCTCTTTGAGTGGAACTTGGCCCAGGGCAGTATGGAGGGGTCACCCATTCCCAGACCTGTTTTCTCTTAGTTTGGGGAAAATTTTCTGTCCAGAAAACTCGGCCTAAAGGCAAGGAAGGGGAATGGGGGGCTTCCAAAAGATCGCTTTGAGCAGCTCGGGGCTCAGGGTAGCCCTTACCTGCCCAAGATCTTGCTGACGCAGCCGTGGCTGACCCGCAGCTGCCGAGAGATGTCACAAGGCCGGACTCCCTGGTGGGCGAGCTCCACGATACGCTGCCGCACCACATCTGGCAGGGGCCGTCCGTTCACAAACACCCCCCCGAGCTGGTTGACACCCCCGTGCCCTGCTGGGGAGAGAGAAGAAAAAACACAACGCCCCACACACAACAGAGACAGGCCGTTAGTCAGGGACAGCGGGCAGGCCAGACCCGACGGTGGGAGTGGGAGGACGAGGGGTGCTGGGAGCTAGCTCGAGACCGAAGGGACTGGGTTCTGAACCCGGACTGAGAGAAAAAGCTGAGGAAAGGGGAGAGGGAGCGGGAGGAACTGAGAAAGGGGTGAGGGGATAGAGGAGGAAATGAATGAAAAGGGAAAGGGGAGAGAAGAAGAATCAGACAAAAGGCATACAGGGAAGGAGAAAGAAAAAATACAGAGGGCAAAGTCATACAGAGGGAAATGTGGTTCCAAGGAAGGTAAGACAAGAAAGGAAGAGAAGAGACTTGAAATAGAGAGCGTAAGAAAAAGAACAGAAGAAAAGAAGAAAAAGGAGATAGAAGGAAAAGAACGAGAGGGGAAATAAAATAAATATGAAAGAAATGAAACAATTAAAAAGCTGAAAGATTAAAATGGGAGGAACGGAGGGGAAGGAAAAGGCAGGGAAAGGAGAAATCGGGAAGGAACATAGGATGGGAAGGAGAACAAGAAGGGAAGAGGGGAAGCAAAAGGAGGAGACAGATGGAGAGTAAGGAAGGGAAGGGACAGAACAGAATGATGTTCCTAGGACATCGAAGGAGAAAAAGATCAGCGGTGGGGGGTGGAGAACAGGGATGGGGAGAGAAAAGGAGGAAGGAAATGGCACTAGTAGGGAGACGTGAGAAAGATAGGAAGGGGAAGGAAGGGATGAGGCGCCAGAGATGTGTGTATTCAGGATCACAGTCGGGACAAGGAAGGGACTCGTTTCTTCTGTGCTAAGAAGAGGAGAAGTTTTTTAGGGGGAAGCAAGGGAGGAGGAAGGCTAATCTTTCTGAGGTCAGAGCCCCAGACCTTAGGGAATAGAGGTCTGTGATCCAAGGCTATTTAGGTTTATGTGGAGATTAAGCAGGAAAACGGGCTGAGTAGTGGTGCGGCAGTCTCTCGCTAAACCCAACGCTTTTCCCCGGCTGTGTAGCTCTTATCCTTTCCTCTTTTTCCATTTCCTTGTTTTTCCTCGTTATTTTTCTTTCCTTTCTTTTCTCTTTTACTTCTTTATTTCTTTTATTTGCTTTCCCTCACTTAGTGTTTCTTTGTCTTCTGTTTCAAGGGGAGATGAAGTGCAAGAAATCCAGGAAAGAAAAATCAAAACAAAACAAAATAAAACCAGGGAGAGGTACAGGCAGGAGCTCCGGGGCTGTTAAATTCTGTCCATTCTGCTCCCCCAGAGTAGCCTAGCCTTGCTCTTCCACCCCAGGAAAAAAAATACTATGTCCCCACGAACCCGGCTGTTCCTGCTGAAATAACAGTCCGGTCTGGGAAAGGGCAAAGGATCAGAGAAAACGCCCTGCGCGGCCCGCGGAGGCTTGGCTCACAAATCATTTGGCTCAAACAGAAGAGGAGAGAGGCCACTGGTCGGTGGCGGGGGGCATTAATATGAAGGGACTATCCCTCCCTGGAAAGAGAGGAAAGGTGAAATTTCAATCCCAGTTACCTACAAACACACACATTCAAACAGCGGCCGGGGTACCTGACCCAGACTGGAGGTTGGGGGAAGGGAGAACGTAGTGGCTATAGGGGGCACTGAGTCCTCCACTTCCAAGCCCCTTTCCTGGCCTGCATCTCCTCCTAGAAATAAACAAATCAGAGCTAAGAAGCCAGCCTTGGACAGACAGGCCTTGGCTTAAGATTCATATAGCTGCAGCCCTAGACACCGGGGTCTGGGGAGGCTGGCAACTTGAAGAACTCACTGCCCTAAAATAGAGAAGTTTTTCGGGGAAAGCAGGCGTATCTGTGTCTCCCAGTCTGTTTCCCGCTCCCGCCCCGACCCCAATCCTCCAACTACTCAGACGCAGCCCAGTCCACCTGTCCGGATTAGCAAGGAGGGGCAGGAGCCTGGGCTTCTCCCTGGAGAGAGAAGGCCGCTCGCTCCTAACTCCCTAGAATGGAATGGAGAGGAACTGGGGCTCTCCCCTCTCCAACCTTCTCCATCTACAAGGGCCCAGCTCCGGTTCTGTCCCCACCACCACCACACCCACTCCAACCTAGACCATCAATAATTCAGGCCCCGAGAGAACTCGCGTTACCGGCTTGAAAAGGCGGCAGCTGCGGGCAGATTAGAGATGAATAATTCAGCCTGCCCGGGCTTTGGGCCCGGCCTGGCCCCTCTGGCCCAATCTGAGGGGTGATGGGGGTGTGGGAAAGAAGAGAATGGGAGACCGGAGTTAGCTAGCTGAGACCTAGGCTAACTGTGAGCTCGGGGAGCCAGGCAGGAGCAGAGCGGGGCCGCGGGCCGCGCCGGAGCCCAAGCCCGAGCTCGAGCCTGCTCCCGCTCCCATACAGGTTCCAGCTTCGACTCCGGCTGGCTAGCCCTTGCTGCATTGCTCTCTGCTCTCGCTTGTCCTTCGCTACCCTTACTCCACCTCGATCTCCAGTTCCTGCATCCCTTCCTCTGGTTTTCAAAGCCGCGTCAGTGGTCACTGCTTGTCCCTGCGGGAGCAAGCCGTGGAACTCAAGAAACCGGAGCCACCCGGGCGAGCCGCATAGCAGGCGAGCGAGCCGCCAGCGGAGAGGGTTAGGGGACTAGACCTCTATGTGCTTCCCAAAGGGGCACAGTTTTACCGCCTAGGCTCAGAGAAAGCTGGGACTGTCCACAGACTCGGAGCTCCGGACTTGGTTTAACTTGTAATTATTGGGAAGGAGGCAAGAAAATGTTTTATTTCGTAGGCTTTGTAGAAATCTGTTACTGAAGTCTAAATATCTATTTAGAGAAATCGGTTATCCCTTTTGCTCAATTATCCTTGGTACAGAACCAAGCCTGTTCTAAAAAGTTTCCCTGTGAAAAGTTGCAAATTATCCTTAATTATTAAGCTCCTGAGGCGATGAGTTTTCCATCTGAAATATTGCTTCTCTTAAAACATTCATTCACAAAATTATTTCAATTGTTTTCCAAGCTGAAGACGGATAAGAATTTGGATTTCATTAAAATAATTTTCTTCCTTCTTTTCTCTCCTTATTCTTTATTTTCTATCTCTTATTTTCCTGGTCTTTCTTTTCTTATCCCCCTTCTCCTTTTGTAATTTTTCGTTTCTTTACATGCATTCGAAATTTCCTTTCATTTGCCATTTGCTATCCTTTTGTTCTTTTCCCATAATTTTCTTTTCTTTCCCTCCTTCCTTCTGTCACTCCCTGCTTTGCCCAGAGACTGCAGAAAGACTAGGTCAGAACTGCCCAGCTACCTGGGCTTTCGGCTTTGGCCCTTTTGCTCCGCGGCCCTGAGAGGGCTCTGCTCTTTCTAGAGCCGATCCGCAATTTCCCTCGGAAACCCCCTTTGTTTTTAGAGCAGCTCCCAGGGGGGATTAACAAGACATTTACGCCTCCCCCTCCAAAATCCAAACGGACAGGACAGGAGAAAGGAAAAGAAGAGACAGTGAAGGGAAGAGAAGGAAAGGAAGAGAAAGGAAGGAACAAGAAGGAAGGAGGGAGGAAAAGGAAGAGAAAGCAAATGAAAGGAAGAAAAAGGGAAGAACAGGCGAGGAAAGAAAATGAAGGGAAGGGAAGGGGAATGTTTAAAACAAACAAGCAAGAAAAGCTCAGGCTAGGATTGGCGAGCCCTGAACTGTGGGAGCAATGATGGGAAGGGGCCACCCGCAGGCGGATTCACCTCGGATTAGGGCTCTGCCCTTTCACTGTTGCTCCTTGCGCCAGGGGTCCCTCCTGAGTCTCTCTGATGTCCAGGACTCCACAGACAGAAAGAAAGAAACGGAAGGATGCCCTGCCCCAGTTCCCCTCCCTCGGCTACCGGAGCAGAAAGGGGTCGCCGAGGGAGTGGTAGCGGCAGAAAGCCAGGCTAGATGAGGGAGAGAGGACTGGGGCAGACCTGTCCGCCTTCGAAAGGAGCAGGTGGAAGGGGTGGGGTGTAGCTGTGGAGGGGCGCAGGGGATGAGAGGATGAAAAGAGTAGGGAGAGGTTAAAGGAGAGAAGTGAAGACAGATGGAGAGAAGACAAGGAATATTTTTTTTGAAAGGGAGAAAACGGCAAAGGGACAAGGAAAAGGGGAGCGCTGCCGGAAAGGCTCCAAAGGGGAAGAGAAAAGGGGGAGCAGGTAAAGGGAAGCTAGTGGGGGTGGGGTATGGGTGGGGGGTGGGGGCGATCCCGAGCCTCGGGGAGTGTGGAAGGGGAGCAGGAGCTGGGCGCCGGTACTCACGGTGCATCGCGGAGAAGGGGTCTGCTTTGCAGTGCATATCCATGGGGAGGCAGAGGAGAGGGAGCAGCGCGGCCGCCGCCGCCGTGTCGCCTCGCAAACTCAACTTCAAGACTTGAGGAAAAAAGGGAGGGACGGTGGAGAGGCGAGAACGGGCCGATCTGCTGCGGGTCAGCCAAGCGAAGGGGGGGGAGGGCACCACGCGGGGGCGGGGGCTGGTGAGAGGGAGGGGGACTAGGGGCTGCTACACTAGGCAGAGAGGACGCCTCTGCCCCGACCTGCAGCAGCCGCCGCCGCAGCACTCGCCACAACTTTCCGCCTCTGAGCGGGCTGTCGGGGCAGGGGACTGACGGTTCAGTAGAGTGCCCCCGGGGGCAGTGACGCCGGCCGGGGGGCACAGGGGTCTCATGGCCAGTGCGGCGGCGGTGGCTGAGGCAGTTGGGGGGGCTGTGCTCAGATCCCCCCAAACCCAGTCATTTGGAGAGATAGCAGTTGTAGAGGGCTCAGAGTTGGGGAGGCCAGGTGGCCCGAGTGCGCGGGCCGGGGAGTGGAGCCGCTTCAAGTCCCGGGAGTTGGTGAAGTTGGCAGAGAAGTAGCAATCCCCGGGATGTCCGAGCGCCTGAGGGAAGGGATGGAGGGAGAGCTGGGCCCCCGCCCCCAGAAAAAAAAAAAAAAGGCAGACGCACGCTCGTAGAGGCTGGCAGCGAAGCTGGAGCTGGAGCCAGAGCCGGTGTCCGCAGCCCTGTCCCCAGGTGGGATGCGGCTGCGAAGAGGCTTGGCCCAAGTCTGGAGCCTCGGCTCCCGGTGTGTGTCTCTCTAAAAGCTGCAAAGCCCCCTCCAGATCTCCCTCCCCCTCCCCACGCCAGGAGATGGATGACTTGTCAGACAAAGGCAATAGATTCCACCACTCTGTGATTCGCCAGCGCCGGAGCCCCGAGCCTGGGCGAGGAGGGCCCCGCGCCTGTCACTCCGGCGGCGGCGGCGGCGGCGGTGAGGGGAGGCGAGGGGAGGGGAGGGGAGGGCAGAGAGAGAGCGGGAGGGAGGAAGGAGGGAGGGAGGGAGGAAGGGAGGGAGGGTGCGGAGGGGGGGGAGTAGTGGTAAGAACTGGGGGAGCCGAGGATTAAAACTACAGAGAGAAACGAAACTCGCCGATAAGATAAACGTTAGATAAGGATAAAGAAGGGACAGGGCTAATGAATATTCAGGCAACAGCGGAGGGGTTGTGAAGCGCACTGAGCTCAGCTCTTCCGGACCTACATTCCCAACTCATCGAGTCCCGAGTCCCGGCCTCTCCAACAGGCAGTGAGTGTTGTTAGTGCGGCTGCTGGCTCCTTTCTCCTTAGGCTACAGCACCGCCAATCCCTTCTTTACTTTTCTCTCTTTTCCTTCCTTCCTTCCTTCCTTCCTTCCTTCCTTCCTTCCTTCCTTCCTTCCTTCCTCCTTCCTTCCTTCCTTCCTTCCTTCCTCCCTCCCTCCCTCCCTCCCCTCCCTTCCTTCCTTCCTTCCTTCCCCTTCCTCCCTCCCTCCCTTCCTTCCTTCCTTCCTTCCTTCCTCCCTTCCTCCCTTCCTCCCTCCCTCCTTCCTTCCTTCCTCCTCCTCCTCCTTCCTTCCTTCCTTCCTTCCTTCCTTCCTTCCTTCCTTCCTTCCTTCCTTCCTTCCTTCCTTCCTTCCTTCCTCCCTTCCTTCCTTCTTTTCTTCCTTCCCTCCTTCCTTCCTTTTCTCTCCGTATTTCTCTCTCTGCCTTGTTTTCTACCCCCTTCAACTTGATTTCACAACCTCCAGATTAGAAAGCCCAACTGATGCCCCTCTGGCCATTTGCTGAGACTCGTTCTGTCCCTTACCCCCTTGGTCTCTGAGCTGTCACCCCCAGAGCAACGATCAGACAGTTCTACACCAACTACTCACAGCTGTGCTAGGGCTGCTCCCACGCTAGATATTTCTTCCCCCTCCCAGTCCCCATGATTACTTCCCCCCATCTCTGCCAGCCCAAAGACTTAGATGAGAGCAGAACTGACCACCTCGGGTAAACTGCCTCAGTGTGACCCAAATCAAAGACAAGGAAGCATTAGGAGTTTCTCTCGGCTCCGTCTGAATTTCTAAGGGAGCGGGTTTCGGAAGAATGTGGGCGGCTGTGCGGAGCCCAAGAAGCGGGGGATAACTAACTCTCCCCGGGTGGAGTGAAGTGCCCGCCGCGAAGCAAGGCAAGCGGCGCTCTGTACAGCCTCTTTTCCGGAGCTCGGGAGCGGCCACTGCAGCAAAGCCGAGTACACCGGAGGAAAAACAGCACCTCCTTGGCTTCGCAGCAATCTCTCCCCAGCCTCGTTTGTGCTCGGATCTATTTCAGCCGCGCTAGGCAGCAGAGGCCCCTTTGTCTCCTAACTGGTTAAGTACAGAATATCTGAGAGATCTTTATGAAATATTTCCCCTCGTCTCATAAATCATCTTGGCACTTCAGCTGATGTTTTAACTCTCTCTCGTTCTCTCCCTCCCCCCATTCCTTTAGGTCTCCGAAAGGGCGGATTCTGCAGAGGTCCACTGATCTCCCTCTGCCTCTGAGTGGGGCTACAGGGTTGGGCAGTAGTCCCCACCGCGTCTGCCTAAGAACATCCTGACTGAAAAAGTTCTGGGCACTGGGGCGGTCACCCAGAAGACCCCACCCTGTTTCTCCCGTGTGTAGCACAATCGGTGGCAATTCCCATGTGGCTGAGTGGAGAACGGATTCATTCAGGTCATAGGCCTGCTTTTTTGTTTCCCAAGGAGATTCCCAATATTTTTCTCCCTGTGGGTCCCACACACAGCTTGATCTTCGATCTTTCCTCTAAGCTGGCCCTCTCCAACCTCTGGGAAAGTTCGAGGATGACCTTCCCCAACGCCCATCCAATTCTAGTCACCTCCTAGGGAAGAGAAGGCTATCTTGGGCCTGAGGTTTCAGGGGCAGAGTCCAGGGTCAGTCTCTACCACAGAAAACCTGCAGATGGCGCTCCTGGGTTTACTTTGGCCTCAACCCCACGAACACGCACCGGCTTTCGGGGAAAAGGGAAGCAATAAAGAAGACAGAGTTTAGGGGAACACTGGAAGACACTCTACCCCTTCCACCCTAAGGTGGGAACTGGCGGTTAGAGGGAAGTAGGAATATGAATGACTATTTAACTTAGAGGGAGAAAGTTGGCAACAATCCCCTCATCTCTTCTTGGGACCCTCTCCAGTCATTCTGGACCTCTTTGCCATCAAGCTACTGGCTTACAGTTAAAGAGGAGTGTTTAGGGCTGTGTGTGCCAGTGTGGGCAAGCCCAACTTTAAGTCTAAAGTTCCCTCACATTTCTTTAGTTCTTATCCAGAAACTGAAGTTCTTGAAAGGTGTGTGAAGAACATGGGGACCCTCCCCAGAACCACATGCACGTTTATTTCCAGGCAGCCAAATAAACAAACACATCCATGTGTAACCACATATTGATGTAATGATATATATATGTATATATAATGCAATTTGCACATAAAAAGACATAGTCACACACAACACATGTGTTGAAGGCTAAAAATACTAACAAACATGCTCTGGATTTGGTAGGAACTCATTAAAATACCAAGAGAGAAGCAGGCAGACAGACATACTTGCTGCTCCAGAGCCCTTTCCCTCCTTCAACTACCCTTTGCAAACCCTCTTTGTACACCCTCTTCAACTTTGTTCAAAAAGCTGGTTTCTTTCCCCATAGGCTCTGTTCTGTTCTCAGGCAGCCTTGAAAAGACCACTGAAAAAGCTTCAGAAAAATTAATCTAGGATAAATGTGCTTTTCCTCACTTAACCCAGAATTCTATGGTGAAGGGCCCTACTTGAAAAGTTTCTTTTTAGCTCTCCTCTTTTTTTCCTTCTTCTTTCCCCCTTTCTCCTGGTTAAGATGAATAAGGTGTAACCAAAAAAAGCTAAAAGGAGGGAGAGGAAAAAAAGAAAAGAGAAAGAAAGAAAGAAAGAAAGAAAGAAAGAAAGAAAGAAAGAAAGAAAGAAAGAAAGAAAGAAAAAGAAAGAAAGAAAGAAAAAGGAAAAGGAAAAACAACCCAACCCCGAACACCACCAGGGCTCCGACCTGTCAGGGTTGGTTGCTTTTCCCCTCCGCCTCTAAATGAACCTTTTCTCTCTGGTGTTTTCAAAGCGGCCCCTCCACCCCCCAACCTAGGGGCATTTACACTTCAAACAAGGCGCCCGCCTCCCTGCGGAAATTTAAAGGAAAATAAACTTTTGGGGAGTTGCTCTGATACCGATCTCGGGATTTGCTTCATTAGCCGCCTCTCTGCATCTGATCTGTCCAATAAATCTTCCTTGTGGATCTCAGCTCCGACTCTTTGCCTCTTTCGCTCCTTAGGCGCTCCTGACTTCTCCCTCCCTCACAGAACAGGCAATTTGGCTAGATACGATGCAGGCCCCCTCCAGCTTGCTCTTCTCCAATACCCGGTGTTCACCAGAAACACAGAGGCCTCAGAGGCTGCAGCCCAGGGGTTCTTCTTTGGCTTGTATGGCGTGCTCTGCATGTCTGTGCACTATCTTATTGCTGGGATTTGGGCTTGTTTTTTATTTCCTTGGTTTGGGGCTACAAAGGTGGCAGTAGTACCACAGGGGATGCTACTGAAAGGTTATCTAGTTGTGCACGTGTGTACATACGCGAAGGGTACGAACCATTGGTGCGACTTGCATGCCCATAAATTCCAGACCAGTATTATTGCTGCATATACACATAAACTATAGTCATGCTATCTATATCTATATCTACATCTATATCTATGTCTATCTAGAGCTTCTCCTGTCCTTCTACACGTGTCTCAGTGGATGCCTGGGGAAGAACTTCAGAGGAGACTAAGTGGTATCCCGTTTTATTTGCGGCGAGAGCTCCAGGGCTCTCCATCCATCATTAGGGCCCTTTACTTCCCCTCTTGCCCCCTTTCAGAATTCCAGGCTGGGGCTTCGATGGGGAGAGAAATGGAGACCAGTGCCTTTGGAAAGGGGGTGGGGAGTTGAAGGCTTCCCCTTCTTTCCTTGTATCTTATCACAGTGCATGGGCCTGAGGGTCGAGGGTTGTGTCCCGGGAGGCCGAGAGTGTCCGGATCCCACAGCTGTAGCCCCTGCATAATGCAAGAAAATCTCACCCTCTCCCCTCCCCCCCAGTGGCCCTGCCGCCTCCTGCCTCCCTCCCTCCACCTCCCGGGGCGCAGCAAGGGGAACTGGGGCTGGGGCTCTGAGGGAGGGGATTAGAAATTCCGAAATTAAATGTATCTCCCCAGGAAATGCTCCCCACAGCGCGGACCAAATTAAACGCATTAAAGTTCAGAAAAAGCTGTTTAGAACCAAGGGGGGAAAAACTAGTCCAAGGGGAAGAAAAAGAGAACGAGGAGGAGGAGGAAAGGGGAGGAGAAATGGGGAGAGAGACAGAGTGAGAGAGTGAGAGAGAGAGAGAGAGAGAGAGAGAGAGAGAGAGAGAGAGAGAGAGAGAGCTTTGCTCAATGGCGGATCCCCTTCTTTCCCTAGTTAAGCTGATTGGGAATGGGACTCCCAAAGTTAGTATGAAAGCACATTCACACAAACACAGACATTTGCACACGGAGACACACGAGGGCACACGCTCACAAGTCCTCAGACATTCAAACCCAGATTCAGGCACAGTTGCTGCCACTGCAGCCCTTCCCCATCTCAGACCAGACCAGCCCCACTCTTCCTCCTTTTCTCCTCCTGCCCCTCCCCCTCCCACTTCCCAGCCCTCTGGTCACGTTGGAGGATGGGTTTTTTTTTTTTTGGAAGAGCTTCTGGTACAATATGGAGCACCATGGGCTGCAATTTCACACTCCACAGCACATTTCCCCTAAAGCTACTTTCTTTTTTTTTTCATCTAAGACCCCCTAATTTCTGCTTCTCTCGCTCCCTCGCTCTCTCCCTCCCTCTCGTTCTCTCTCTCCTTTCTGCTTTTGTCCCTAATATTTGGGCTCCTTGTTGGAGGCCCAGGAGGCTGTCCCTCGCCCTCTTTTCTTTCCACTTCTCCCCCAGCCCCCCACTGCTTCAAGCATTTCTCAGCCTGGTCTGTTTGTCCTGCTGAGCCCTGCGCACGTGCTTGACCCTTTATCCTTACCGTCCCCCTTTAACCCTGAGCTCTTTTTCACTAGCGGCCTCTACCCAGCGGTGCGACCTGTCCGGCCCTTCTCAGCCCCTTGGAGGGGGTATCGACAATTTGAGACATCCGGCCACCAAAGCAGCCTCTCTGAGACTGGGTTGGAAAGGCTAAAGCCACTGTGTGCCTTTCTACTGGCGGCTTGTACTGAGGCCCAAAGTGGGCAGAGCCAAGTGTGCAGGCCGGTAGTGACTACAAGGCCAACCCACACAGGGTAAATGAGCAGCACCTACTGGCCGGGACCGGCTGGGTTGAGGGCAGCCGTCGAGCAGTAACCTTCTGCCTTTCATGGTATGAATAGTCAATTCCAGCAGAGGTTAGGGTCCTGAAGGCTCAGTGAAGATGGTCCAAGCAAGTCCCTTGGAGTAAATACATCTGCCCATGCATTCATGTACATACAAACACAAAAAATGAGTGCCCAAGTGGAGTGAGCCCACAGATCCCAAACCGCGTATGCTGTGGAGGTCTAGGCAGACTTCGGACACGTCTCTGTGGGGTCTCTGCCTTCCAGCTTATATCTGGGCAATGCTCATCTTTCCTGCATCTCCCTCTGCCCCCAAGGGGTAAGGGAAAAGGCAGGAGCTGTGGCCATGGCTGTGAGGCTGAGGCTGTAGGTTTTCATAAAGGCTACTACATACACTCTGAGGGCTTCTAGGGGTCCCTTCCTTCATCTTTTGCCTGCTATTTCACCTGTAGATTTTTTTCCCCCTCTTTTTCCTACTAACTACTTCCTAACACTATCCCACTTGGTCAATTTTCTTTCACTGTGTCTTCACAGTTCCTCTCTCCTCGTCCAGCTTTCAGCGCGGGTTTCCCTCACAACAACGCAGCCGCTAGAGGAGCACTCAACTCCTCTGAGGCTCCCCCCCCCTTTCCTCCCCAACAGGAGGGTTAATTATGGCCTTTGGGCGTTGTCCCCTCCCCGGGCCAGTGCGGTGAGACCGCCTGGAGAGCTAGCTCGTGGTGGGTGGGGGGTTAGGTGTAATGGGAAAAGGGATGGGAAGAGGTTTGAGGAATGAGAGATCCTGTTCCTCCCGTCCGGTCAGCTCCCATCTCCAAGCAAAGGAGAAGAGAGGCACAAAACCCCGAAGTCAGACATAACCAGAGCACTGAGTTCGGATGAGATGTTTGTAGGGGTGTGGTACTCTACTGAGAAGCCAACTGGCCAGAAACGAGGCCGGGGAGGAGAGGGAAGGTGAGGGGAAGCGCAGGGAAGGCAAGGGAGAGTGAAGATACATTAAGAAAGTAGTAAGAGGGAAGAGAATTGGGTGTGAATTAGGGAACCCCAGAGTATGGAGAAGGCACCTGTCTCTTTGGAAGGGCTAAAGAGGTTGTTTTGGATAGGAAAGAGCTTCCCAACCGGGCAGTTGGACCATCAGTCAGGAAGAAAGCAGCAGAGCGAGGAGCTGGGACTAGGGATGTTGGTAGAGATATAATGATTAACCGTCCCCCTCCCCAGTCAGCTTTGCGCCCTCAGTAAAACTGAGTGGAAGCTGGGGGTGGAGGGGGGAGTGTGGTGATAGAAGCGGGGATGTCTCCGATTCTGCTGCTCCTGGCCACCTCAGAGATCAGAGGGGTGAGAGGGAGGGAGTGCTAAGCAAAAGGGAACGCAGCCCTAGGAAGGGGAGGGGCTGAAGTGGGGGGGGGGATGTGTGTGTGCAACAACAGATGCAGAGTAGAAAAGAGTGAGGGAAATAGTGAGAGAGCCGGATTTACAGGCGAGGGAAGAAGAAGAAAGGAGACAAAAAGAGGGAGAGGAAGAGGGAGAGGGAAAGAGAGAGAAGCACACAGAGGTGGAATTCCTGAAAGAGAAGACCGATGGTTGGAGAAGGGGGGAGGGGGCATAAAGGCAGAACAGGAACTGAGTTTTCTTAGAGTTATGATGAGGTACCAAATCTACCCTCTCTCAACCAACCTCCTCCCCCTTTTCCTTCCTAAGGACTCTGAGGGAAGCAAGAGGAGGATGAGAGAGTCTGGGAGACTGGAAGGGTGGGATGAGGGTAGTAAGAGAGAGGGGCAGAGAGACTGGCAGAAACGAAGTGAAGCAGAGATAACGACAGAGCCAGGAACTGAATAAAACAGATTAACATGGAAAGAAAAAGACTCAAGGTACCAAAAGGGGAAGGGGAGAGAAATAAAGGTGAGAAACATGGAGTCAGAGAAAGAGTGAGGAGTAAAGTGAGAAACATCAGGAAGAAAGGGAATCTGTTGACCTGAGGAGGTCTGTGTATCTTTCCTCCGTCCCTTCTTCCTTCTTCGCCTATTTTCCCCTCCCTGAGGAGGGAAAACAAACGTCTTTAGCCCCAGCTGAGAGTGCATGTTTATGTTACTGGATCTCCTAATGCTTTGTGTGGTGTTTACTGATGATGGTGAGTGTATTGGTTCAGAGGTGTTTTTGTGCTAGTGAGTTATATGTGTATTGGGGGTGAGAAGAGAAAGTACGGAGCGACATATACTCGTTCTGGGAGAGATGGGGAAGGTTCCTAAGGGTCTTTACATTGCAGTGCCTATTTCTCAGTCAGAATTCTGTCATCAAGTTCAAATCTTGCCCCCTAACATGAACTTGAAACAAAAGGAGTAAAATGAATCCATGCAGACATAGGTCAAGATCACTTACTATCCAATATGTTAAACTTTTTTTATTAATAATTCTTCAAGAATCATTCCTAGAAAAGAGAAGGTACAAAGTAAATGTAGGAGCAGTTTCTCTTGTCTGAGAACAAGGCAGCTTCTATCTCCCCTCATCCCTCGCATCTAGGGGAATAGTATTCCTGAAAACTAACTATTAAGAATATTATGCTTCGTCTGCCATTTCTGATTCAACTAGGATGAACTTTTGAAGTATTTTAATGTATATCTCTGTGGTGTGGTTTTTTGTGAGGGGGGGTGAGGTAGGGGTGAGAAGCTAGGTGTGTGTTTGCTCAACTCAGACATTAGCCACCCCCCCCAAAAAAAAAAAAGACTCAGAGAAAACAGCACTCACTAGATTCTCACTTTGTCCCCTGACTTTTATAGGGAGGCTCACCACACAAGAAAGGGAGGAAAGAGACTGAGGAAGTGTCTCCTCCTGCAGTGATGCCAATCAATCCTTTTTGTCAGCATAGTAATTATACTATATAGCAAACCAAACTCCCGTGATGTTGAGGCCTTAGGGGACCAGGATGCCCTTGGCCAAAGA